GATGTTCACTCGTTCCCACCCGTCCCGCGTGCAGCTTCAGAAGTGGGGAGTGAACATCGATCCAACTTGCGAGTTTTGTGGCCGCCCAGACACTACCTGGCACAGGATCTGGGTCCGCAGTCATAGTCAGGAGGTTAGGGGCGAGGAGCTTGGTCAAATGACCAGGCAGGCGCGAGAGGCAGGTGAAGGACACCCTCTCTTCACTTTCGGCTGGATTGCCCACCTCGACCTCGCCCAACCTCCAATGTCCTGGGATATAAGTTTTTTTGACGGGACTGGCCTTGCCTGTGAGCCATTTCTCTTCGGACCTGGGGCCAGGTTGTTCTCGGGCGGGAGCTGCCTGCACCCGAGGTTCGTGTGGTCGCTGGCCCGTGCAGGTTGCGCGGTCGTGGAGATCGACCGAGAAGGACGCCTCGCACGAGGCCTTCATGCAGGCGTGCCCTCCACTCTCTCCCAGACTGCGGTGTCGGGAGAATATGCGGGGGTGGTTCTTGCCACTGTGTGCAGTGAAGACGGGCTCGAGAGCTCGGATTTAAACGTGGATTGCATGGCCTTGTGCGGCCGCCCCGCGGCCCTGTATGGGCCGAAATGTTCCCAGGGGCACTTCTGGAGGGCGGTCAGTCGGGTCGTCGGTCCCAGTCGTGCTGTCCGTTGTGTCCACGGTAAAGCCCGCAGGAGTAGCTCCCAGGCCATTGACCAGGCCGGTGAGCTATTTATTGCGGGGAATAACTATGCCGACCACTATGCGAAGTTGGCGGCCCACTATAACAGTTACAGTGATGATGAGAATTCGCAGATCTCTCTTGCCCTCAAGTCTTACTCCGTCCTCGTCAAAGGGGCGGCGAGATGTTTGGCGCGTTTGCCCTCGCTGCAAGAGCAGCTGGGGCACCTTGACAGGAGAGTTTGCGAGAGGAAACCCCGCCCTGTGCCCCCGCCCAGGCATGACTTCGCGTGGTGGAATTCGGCGAGCAAGTGGCGTTGCCGTCGCTGTTTGAGAAGGTCGGGGGTTGAGAGTGCTGGGCCCTGTAAGGGACTCAACGAGTCCCTCCGTGTTTTCGTCGAGCGGGAGGATACCCAGGGCCATATCCTCATGGTTTCCTGGGTCGAGGGACCCGAGATGCCCGTAATTTGGTGCAACACATGCGGAGGGTTTGCCTCTACGAAGGTGGGCCTGCGGCTTGGAGGGCCGTGCAGGCCTGCGAAGAAGCTCGGAGAGCTGCGCAAGCTACAGAAGGGGGGGCTTCCTGGATCGGCCCTTCGCCTCGGGCCGCCCCAGCCTCTTTCCTCCCTGTAGCGTTTTCTTTCGGCCTTTAAGCCTGGGCTTGTGCTTGCATGAGACCTAGGATGGAACTGGAAAGCTGGAAAACGAGGAGGAGGAGGAGGAGGAGGAGGAGGAAGAGGAGGAGGGGGAACGGGAGGAGGAGGGGGGCAGGAGGAGGAGGAGGGTTGAGGTTATGAGGCGTAGAGGAAGGAGCGAGACGAGGAGGAGGAGCGAGAAGGCAAGGCAGGAGGCCTGGAGGAGAGGAAAGAGGAGGGGTGCTAAGGGTGGAGGGGGAGGGTCCGAGGGGGAGGAGGACAAGGTAGGTGCGCTCGCGTCATATCTGACGTCCTACCCCTCCCTCCCATCCCTTACCATGGCGCTGATTTTCTCTATCCGCGGACGCGTGTCGTAGCGGACCTGTGGATCCGCGCGCGCGTGCGTAGTGGGTGGTGGTGCGCGTGCGTGCGTGCGTGCGTGCGTGTGTGGTGTGGGTGTTCTGTGTGTTCCTTGTGTGTGATGTGTCTGTGGGTAGTGTGCGTGGTTGTGGTGGTGGTGGTGGTGGTGGTGGTGCTGGTGGTGGTGGTGGTGGTGGTGGTGCTGGTGGTGGTTGTCGTGGTGGTCGTGGTGGTGGTGGTGGTGCGGCGCGGTGGTGGCGGGCGGATGGGCGCGCGAGAAAGAGGCCCGCGCTGGGGCGAGAACGCCATCCTGAACGACGGAGGCAAACACCGATCCGAAAATGAGGCCCACGCTGCAGCGGGAGCACGATTCGGAACGATTCGGGAGCAGAAATGAGGCCGGCGCCTCAGCGAGAGCAGCATTTTGAAAAAAACGCAGGCGAAAACCCGTTTCCCGGGAATCCTGTGTGTAAAAAAACAGTACGCGGGGGGGGGGTCGGATATCTTCGGGACGCCATCAGGGGAAGTGGCGAGGAGAGTTAGTTTCTATTGGAGTAATTGTGTGAGGAAGAGGAGGAGGCGGAGGAGGAGGAGGAGCAGGAGAGGAGGAGGAGGAGGAGGAGGAGGAGGAGGAGGAGGAGGATGAGGAGGAGAGGAGAGGAGGAGGAGGAGGAGGAGGGGAGGAGGAGGAGGGGAGGGGAGGAGGAGAGGAGGAGGAGGAGGAGGAGGGGAGGAGGAGGAGGGAGGAGGAGGAGGAGGAGGAGGAGGAGAGGAGGAGGAGGAGGACGGAGGAGAGAGGAGGAGGAGGAGGAGGAGGATGGAGGAGGAGGAGGAGGAGGAGGAGAGGAGGCGGGAGGAGGAGCGAGGAGGAAAGAAGAAAAATAATATAATAAGAATTAATAGCAGAGAAGAAGAAGAAGACTAATAAAATAATAAGAAGAATACTAATAATAAGAATAAGAAGAATAAGAATTAATAATACGAAGATAGAAATTAAGAAGAATACTAATAATAAGAATAAGAAGAAGAACAAGAAAAATAATAAGAATAAAAAGAATAAAAAATAATAATAATACTAATACTAATAAGAATAATAATAATAAAAAGAAGAAGAAGAAAAAGAAGAATACTAAGAAGAAGCATAATAAGAATAATAAGAAGAATAATAATAAGAAGAATAATAATAAGAATAATAATAAGAAGAAGACTAATAAGAAGAACAATAAGAATAATAAGAATAATAATAAGAAGAATAATAATAATAATAAAAAGAAGAATAATACTAATAAGAAGAAGAATAAGAAGAATAAGAAGAATAATAAGAAGAATAATAAGAATAATAATAAGAATAAGAATAATAATAATAATAATAATAAGAAGAAGAATAATACTACTACTAATAATAATAATAATATTAAGACGAAGAAGAATAAGAAGAATAATACTACTAATAATAATAATAATAATAATAAGAATAATACTAATAATAAGAATAATAATAATGCTAAGAAAAAGAATAAGAATAATAATAATAAGAAGAAGAGGAGGAGGAGGAGGAGGAGGAGGAGGAGGAGGAGGAGGATGAGGATGATGACGGAGTGGGGAAGGTAGGAGGGGCGAGGGGGAGGGGGAGGGGAGTGGGGAGGGGCAGGGGGAGGGCTCCAACCCTTGGCTATTGGCCCTGGGCGTCGCGCTTCGGCCTCCGCTCGGGCGTCCAGGAGCCTCGCGTTTTTGCCGCGCGTACTGGCCCTCCGGTCGCAGCAAACTTGGCGTCCTCCTGTGGTCTTGTGGGGTGCAGCCAGCAGTCGGCGTCACCCCAACACACTGATACTTGCATCGCCCCCACAGGGGCGAGGCGCGCGCCGAGAAATCCTCTACCGTGGATGTAAATGCTCGGTGGCGAGCGCTTTCTGGCCATACCGCTCGGGTGACGATCTATTACAAGATGGTTGTACTGTATGCTCCAGTCGGACGCACGCTTCCAACCAAAGAGGACGCATCGTACTAGTATGTCCCCTTGCGTCCCAAGCAGGCCTGCATAACAGGCCCAGCAGTCCTCGCAGTCTCGGCGCTCTCTGTTGGCCGCGGGGCCGCCCGTTGCCATGCGGAGGTGCCCGCGCCCGTGCTCCAGTACCGCGAGCGCATGGTGGAGGTGCCGCAGGCGTCTCGGGGCTCGGCAATGGGAGAACGGGATCGGGGGCGTTCAGGTGGGGTTGTGATGACCAGGGGGAGGGGGGAGATATTCTTCAAGAGGCTTGGCCTTCTGGAGCTTCGTTGTGGCCCTCTGGAGGCCTGTTTTGGGCCTCTTGGGGCCTCTTCGGGCCTCCTGGGAGTTTCTTGGGCGCCTGCTGGTGGTCTCGGGGGTCCTCTTGGGGCGGACGGCTCGGTATGTCAGTTCGAGGGGCTGCGATGACTAGGGGGGAGGGTCTTATGACAGGGGCCATGCACAACAATATCTGAAATTCGTAGCAAACGAAAGTAACCAGAGCCACGATATCTTCCAGTTTCGATGGCCCCCTCTTCTCCTTTCAGCACCTCCGCTGGCTCCCGCTTGTCCGCGCACATGCCATGATGTGCCCCCCCTTTTTCTGGCCCCCCTCTTCGGTGCACCCGATGGAGGACGATGGGGAGGCCGGTTCTTGTCCCTGCCCTGAGGAGCCGTGTTCGGAAACAATCCAGCCTCTTCCACTGGGCCTCAGGATTGCCGCCAAGCATTCTGATGTTTCAGCCTGCTTCAGCCCTGACCACCAGGAAGAATTTCGAGCACCAAGGAGGCTCCGAAACTCAACGGTCTTCACGTGCCGGGCCATGGCAGGCGATACTCGCTCGACGCCTCGCTGGCGTGTCGGGCGGACGCCGTTTCGATGCTTCTCTGGGTGCTCGATACCATTTCTGCGATGTGGCCCTTGGTGAGTACGACGGGAACACGAGGCAAGCAGAACGGCTCGGGACGAGGAGTTGGCCCAGGGTGAGGGCCCTGGGGCCTTGGCACGCTTCTCCTTCGGGACCCGCTCGGGCGCTGCCAGAAGCGCCCCTGGCCCAGGGTGCCCCCCAGGAGTTCCAGGGAGGCCCCCGGGGGCCTCCACAGCACCCCTCGCAGGGCCCAGAGGGCCCCCCACATAGCACCCCTCCATAGCACCCCTCGCACGGCCCAGAGGGCCCCAGGGGCTCCAAAGCTGAGCGACAAGCCTGGGGGCACCTTGGGCCAATGGGTGCCTCCAGTAGCTCCCGACCCGTGGCCGTGGCCGCGGGCCCGCCGGGACGCCCTCCCGGGGCGCGGGGGGCCGCCGCCACGACGCGCTGCTCCATCGGCAGCGGGCGGGGCGCGGCGCGGGGCGGCGGGG